CTTACACCTTTCTAATCCGAGGTTCTAGAAAAATTAAGTATTGAATATTCTCGCAAATAGCTACTATAGGCCATACCAACCACCATCGGTCACGCGGCATCGCGCCTGCGACCACTAGCGACGGTGCGGTATGACGCGTGCGAATATTGCTGCGCATTGAAGCAGGTCTCATGCGACGGTGCGTCCTCGCAAGGCACATCAGCGCGGGACCGATGCCGGTTTATACAGCCTATACATTCGGAATCCCCACGCTCACTTACCCCCCTGTGCCAACCCCCAGCCCCGTAGGTGAACTCTGCAAAAAAAATCGATAAAATCGATATCGATCGATGACGAAAAGTAGCCTATGACACCCGCCGGGGCCCGAAGTGTATGTGTGCCAAGTTTGGCCCTGATCGGTTCAGAAATTGAATCTTCTATTCGGAACATACGTACAGACAAACAGACAAACAGACGTTCAGCTTCATATGTAAGATTTCAGTTTGTTATCTGTTTAATCGTGTCTATTGTTGCTACTTTGGTAGGTGCCAGAGTAAGCGAATATTTTGTTCAAGTTGGGGTCCCGCGCAGAACTGGCATCACTAATCATTGTGGCATAATGCCAACTTGGCGTTGTGCCACAATGATTAGTAACGCCAGTTCTGCGCGGGACCCCAACTTGAACAAAATATTCGCTTACTCTGGCACCTACCTTTGTTGCCAAGATGAAGTTTAATTACTCAAGTTTGAGGTTGCTTGCTCATGCGTATACGAAGTCCCGCGTGGCAATATCTTTGGTTGTGGTTCACAAGTGGTATTCGAAGGGTGTATACAGGGTGTCCCAAAAGTATGTATACACTGTTTGATCATTGATATCTCTGTTTCCTAGAAGTTTTTTGCCTGCCTTCAGGTACCATTTGTAGAGCAGGCTTCAACATAGACTTACAGTAAGGAGCGAGTTAATTATCTTCGTTTACTACTGTAGGATTACGATAAGAACTTCATTAAAAGAATGAGCCATTAAGAGCTCTACTTCGCCTTAGAAAGCAAACCAAACAACCTGGAAACTCTTAAATTAGGCTAATTGAAGTCCGCTAAAACCAAATATGAACTTCGTATTTGACCTCGATGCCTCTCTCATGACTTATCCTCTAAACCGTAATAGCTGTTTTTACGATGGTCTCTAAAACTGCAATAACACCCTTTGAAAAGCTTTACAAACTTTTAAAAAGTTGAGTAGTAAAACCAGTGCGCGCAAAATCCCTGGCACACCACTTTTCAGATTTTTTGAAAACTTTTTTGAAATACGATTAATCCACAATGACGCTGTAAGCCGAAAGTCCCTACCATATTCCTACAATATCGAAGAGCGCGATGGTTTGCTGCATACTGTAAATCCAAGTTGAAACCAGCTCTACAAATTGGTAACTTGAGCTAGGTAAAAGACTCCTTGGGAAGAGCGAAATTAACGATGAAACAGTATATACATGCATTTGGGACACCCTGCAGTTCTGAGCATATCTCCACCACTAATTAATTACAATTGAAATTGAAATGGATTGTCCAATAACGCTGTAAAATCACTTGCAGAATCCTTGAGTGTTATTTCTTGATTCCTTCTTCAGAAGACTCTGGTAACCAACAACCTCATTCTTGAAGGGTTTAACGAAACGCACAGCAGGTTTTTTAAGGGCTGAAATTTTGTCTTTAGGTGCAAGTGGCTCAGTGCCTGCTCCACAAAAAGATTTACACCGTCACAGCGGCAAATTAGACGTCTTTCGCTTTCAAGCAAACTTTGGCGGCTTATAGGTTCTTCCCCAATTACTCATCAGCTGGGGCGGTGATGCGAAGAGCGCTGGTGTGAAGCAAATGAAATGAACGAATTTATGCCAGATAAGTCGAATTCAATTGAAAAAGTAATAATAAAGCAACACGGCGCCTCCTCCCCCCCCCCCCCCCCCGGCTCGCCACTGCGTAATAGCTATATTGTGGCTGTTGTTTTAGTTGTGTTGCTTTATCATTACTTTTTTCAATTGTTTTCGGCTCCGACATAAACTCATTCATTTCATTTTTTGTTGCGTTGTGTTGAGCCCTTTAAGAATGAGGATACTGGTTACAGAGTCTTCTAAAAATGGAGCCAAGAAATAACACACAAGGATTCTGCAAGAGATTTTACAGCGTTATTGGACAATCCCTTTTAAATTCCGAAGTCATGACACCATGCCAGAACGAGCTGGTGGGCACGTAGAAAATCGCAATCGCGCCTGTTTAAGTTATTGCGAAACTGTCATAGACAAGCACTCTAGTCAGCATCATTCCTTCAAAACTGTTCAAAGCAAGTAGGAAAAAGGGCTTTGATCTTAAGCTTATCGTGGAAGAGATTGCGACAGAAGAGGCATATACGGTTTACAATGCATTTTGCGATACGAATAAAGATCAAGAAAGCTGTCAAGCTTACCCTATAGTCAGATGGCATTTAGTACGAAGCAGTCTTCTTTGGCAGAGCATTTAGACAAGGCAGAATTCGGCTCGGGATGAATGCACTAGTACTGTTTGGACTTTTTAGGAAATGAATCAGAAACACTCTTAGTGGGACACGCTTGTTACAATACTTCGAAAGACGTAACAAACGAGAAAACAAGTTGATGCTACCGAAACCAACTATCAAATAGTAATTGGATCAAAAAGATGTTGCCAAAGGAAAAAACTTTTTGATGAGGATGCGCAAAATCCACGCTCTCAAAATACTTGTAAATTACTTGACTTTGCAAGGGTCAAACTCGTCGCGGCGTTAGAGGAAAAACAAATTTACAAACTTTTGCAATTTTTAGAACAACACGTAAAAGAGCCAAAAAAGGAGAGTTGTCAGAAAGCTTGAATGCATCAATGAATGTCAAATTTGCAACGGTCTAGTTCTAGAAAAGATGGCGTAAAGGGAACTGAGCCTGACGTTGACTGACCGACTACAAAGAGGCACAGATGTCGTTTTAGGTCCTTTAATTTCATTTTCAGGTTTAGTCGCCGCTGGATTCAAGGGCAATCCTTCAACGTGTTGATGATTGGTACGATGTGAGTAGTCAAGCTGTAAATGAGTCATTAATTGTAAAACAGCGCTTCCCATGGTTGTGAGAAAACACCTACCGCTAGTTTTGTTCGCCAAAAGCGGCAAAATTTATTGAAACAAAACTTTCCAAATGGGAAAAGGGGGGGGACTGTTTCAGTAGCTGCTTCATCATCGTTTTTGTGGCTTCCGGCCATGTTCGGCTTGACCTTTTTTGATATGGGAAATTTGGTATTACTTAAAAATCAGCAATTATTAGGTTTGCGAGAAAGTTTTCTGGAATCTGGAAGACCGTTTTTTAGCACGGGCGGTCTCCAGCGTTACCCTCATTTTGACTTGTCTTAGCACGTCACACACGCCGCAAATCTTTCCTCCCTCTGCTTTGCTTAGGCAAAAGTCGCCGCAGGATGTATCGCGCGTGGTTCTGCGTGGAAAACATTGCGGTCGTGCGAATCGCCCTACATCTTCGGACGCTGCAGGCAAAAATTTCTGTTTCTATGGCTCCCGCCAGAGTGCCGAAGGATCGATACACGTGTATTTCGTTGAGGACGTCAGCTAGCCCCGCCCCAACGAAATACACGTGTATCGATCGAAATGCTGGCGTAGCGCTGGCATAACTTCGGCACTCTAGCGGGAGCCTATGTAAGCAATGAGAAAGCCATGCTGCACACCGTCGAATGAAAGCAGTCAATGTCTACAAAATTGTTCTAAGCACCATTTGCAGGTCTACCACTTCCATCAATTGTGGAACCCACACATGCTCGAGTTCATAGTATACACTTACTCACAAACTCACATGCACAGCTTGTATGGAATTTGAGTTCAAACAGGAAGGAAAACGAGGTAAATGAGAAGTGGCAAACCCCGCTTTGAGGTTCATCCCATTTGCTTGATCTGAGAGATAACAGATTTATTTATTGACTTATTTCTTTATTCACGTAAAACAGATGAGAATGAACCGAAATAAAAGCAACAACTACATGAGCCGTCTAGCCGACATTTATCGTATCGCTCGCAAGATAACACGTCGCTCTCCTTCTTCAGATGGCGCGTATTTCTTCAACCGATTTCCTGTCCCCATACCCGAGTGCAGAATGAAATGGCACTTACCAGGGCTTGGCAATGTTTGACAATGTTCGAAACTTTCAAGACAACCTCATATAAAAATGGCAACAGTCGAATTTTCGCTCGGTTTCTTAGCGCTAGACTGCTGAAAACACGACAAAAACCTTTTCCCTTGAATAATCGTCTTTGAAAGCCTGCAGGATAAATCAGTTGAAAAAAGTTTGATTCCATTTTCACAATTTTTCCTTGATTTAAATGCGACTATGCACAAAATCGTTGCAATGAATTTGAAAGCCAAATCGGCATGTTAATAAGTGACTGATTATAAAATGCGAACAAATAAGTTAAAGTTTCAACCTACTCATGTCCATATACTATATGCTGGCTAACGGAACAAGACTTATTAAAGAGATCTGATGTCATTGTAGCGAAATGCATGGCATGTTACGCTTCTTACCTGAGATTTTTGCTGATTACGACACATAATAAGTAAAACCACAAGAAGTACCGCGGAAAGCACATAACATTTGATTATTAACATTGGAGCAAACATAGTTTCAAGGTTCGAGTTTGTAACAGTATTTTTTCAACTTGAGACGCTGTAAAGAGCATTCAGATAGCTTTAAAAATTTATTCAAAGCAAAAAAGGGTGCGCGGCTTTCTCAGTTGTTCTCTTATTAATGACTTTGCCAACAACATATCTGTGTGATATGAGGGAGTGGTGCTCAGCGTTTTCACAAAACTCATTTTTATGACACTTGTCTTTTTCACAAAACTCATTTTTTAACACTTATCAGAGTCAAGTAAGCTAGCGGTTTTCGTCAGTGTGCTCCTTGAAAGCAAAAACCGCAAAAAAGTAAAAAGAGCATTGTTGTAAAAACACAGACTTTTTCAGCTCAAACTTCATTCCAAATTAACAGCTTTACATCACGTTGTTTTCTTTGACATTACTTCCTTCCTTATTTTTTCCCATCGTTGCTTTCTATCGATGGTTCTTGCGCCAATAGCAGTATCGATGTCAGCAGTGTAGTACATAATGTCAGTCATTACCTTGGTATCTACAGTAAATCAAAGAAAGATTAGAATCATGACCTAAACTGACCTGGGCTCTACCAAACATTCCCTCCCTAAGATCATTACAAGTTGTGCCATGAGAAACTATTCCCACTATGTAGAATCTACCGCCAATTTTGGCTGTCACTCCTCCGCCGCTATCGCCCTTAACTGATTTTTTCACAACCAATATTAGAATTGTGCCCAAGAAAAATGCTTCAAATTATGAAAAAAATTTTCTGCAGGCACAAGAATGCCTAACAAGGAAAGGATACTTGGTGACCGTGGCCTTTCGAAATGAAACGTAAACCATTAAATGCATCTTGAAGCGCTGATTCCAAATCTGTTTTCGTTATGTGCTGTGCGCTCTTCCGAGAGAAGTTATGAACATTTCTTGTCACCAAAATTTGCTCTGTTTTTGATGCAGGATTCACCAATATCGTTGGAATGTTCGCTTACGCACTACCAAAAAGCGTACAGATAAAGTAAAGCTTTACGTTAAGCTCAGGAAAACTATCACCGATACATAAGAATCCAAAAAGCTGGGATACTGACGATTTTGACTGCCTAAGTCTCGCGAAATCAATATGGAGAAAAGTCCATAACTTCGTTCAGGGAGTCTCACAGCAGGCAATGAACATAGATTTAGAATCAGCGTTCCAAGACGCACCTTCTGGAATACATCTCATTACAAAAAGTCACGGTCACCATATCCTTCCCTCGTAAGACCTAAAAACTCTTCAAATTTTCAAAAATGTCACAGTTTCATTCCGCGCCCCATCCCCCTTTACAGATCACACAACGTTTCGTGTAGACATAAAAATTGTTTCATACTGCAGCATTGATCAGACAATCTGCACTAACCGCAATGATTTGGCAGCCGCAGCAGCCAATTCAATTGGAATCATTTCCGTTGTAATGAAGCACGGCAGCGATCTCAGCGTTTTGAAGAATACAAAGACGGAAGTCTCGAAGGTTCAACACCCTCCGCAGCCATGCTTCAAAAGCATCTACTTTGTAATTGAGGAAGCAGTTGAATGGCGAAAAATTTACTGCAAGAGGGGCTGCAAGAATACACTACGTATACTTCTAACACCCAAAACCGGTGTGTGAAAATTATTCTATGTTTTTTTCCTGTCATCAACACTATTCTCAGACTGCTTTCGAAGGACTATAACTCAGGTCATTTATTTGACTATGAAGCGCTTTTTTCCCTACAAAAATGGTGTTGCAGACGGAAATTGAATCTGCTAGCCTCAACTAAGAAGCTCAAATGCTACAGGCATCCAGGCTTGACAAACATGTCAAATGTACCGAGTGGTGTCCTGGATAGAAGTCCTACTTCGAAACCTCACTTGAGACTCACACACATTGACATAAGTGCATATCTCTACCAACAACCTCAACAATTTTGTAACTCTTTTTGTAATGTTTTTCATGGACCCATACAATTCAGCTCTACTTTAAAGACGCCATTTGTGCAGAATTTGATTACTTCAAAGCTCCCAAATTTTCTTTTATTTTATGTACGGCAACAAAAAACGAGGAAAAGGGATAGTATCTGGGTTCTTTGAAACTATGCCAGCTTATTCTTACTTTCTACTCTAAGGTCGATTCGTTTCGTTTTGTCCCCAACAAGTTACGAAATTTCGAAGTTTTGAGTTTCCAGTATCGTATTTGAATTTTGCTAGAGTCGCATCTGGATTTTCTCAAGCTCACTGTTTTTTTTTCAATTGTCTGGGCACTCTATCGTACAAGATGTTCATTGCAGCCTGTCAGCCCTTCCTCGACTACAGTTACAAATTTTCAAATTACCTTGCTCCTGCTCTTTTCTGATTTGTTCAAAAAGATGTTGAAATGTTTTTCCTCGCAGGAAAATTTGGGCACCAAAATGGGATGAGTTTTTAGTAACGCATAAGAAAGCAACATTTTTTCTCCCAGCTAAAAAATGGTGTCACATACTAAGACAGAACCAAGACTACCATAATAATCTGAACATGATAGGCTTAGTTCCAATTTTTAGTACAATTGTTAGAACATGAATGAGTTGTAAGTTACGATTTAAGTTTAAGTTAAGTTTCGAGTTCGAACTACGATTTACAGCCGAGTGTATAGTCTGGCAGGGCCTCCCAAGCCGTGAAGGAGCTCGACGTTTCCGGTTTCGGCTGGATGCCTAGCTAAGAGCCTGCCGGATCATATTCCTTGCCGCCGTTTTTCATTAAGCGGTTCTTCCAGCGTCAGCGTCGCCCCGTGAAAATCAAGAGTGTACCTAGCAATTTTGCTTCTGTAGGGGAAAACTTCAATTACTTAGTCAGCAAGACGAAATGAACTAAAGTCTGTTCATCGGATCTCGCTTGCGGCGCCGAATGGTAGCAAGAACAAAGTCAGGGTTCTTAGGGCGCCTTTGGACCAAACAAAAACAACAAGTCTGCCTGGAGAACGCCATGGAGACTACCCTATGCTCTGCACCTACAATGACAGTCAGGACAATCTCTCGTCGACCTTTACGCTCGTCTGACGCTGCAGAACACAACAATACAACGTCATCGCTCTGTGAGAAACGAAGTCCAGGAAGAAGGACGTGCGACAGATGAGTGATGGGACCCTCATCATTCGTGTTGAGAAAGTTTCCATTACGAAACGTTGGAGGCATTGCTTTGTCGTCCACGCATCCATCGTCCCACCTTTCGATTCGCACGAGATCCTATCATCTTGACTAGCCATCCTACGACTACGACCTCCACGTCGGAAGACCATCAGCATCATCAGCTGCTACTCTCCAACATCAGCAGCTGACGACTCAGAACTTGATGTTTTCTACGGAGACCTAGAGGAGGTCGTCCGCAACGAAAAGTCCTTCTACAAGTATGTTGTACGCGACTTCAATGCGAAAATTGGGATGCCACCAGAGAAGGAATATAGGATGGGGAAGTTTGGATGTGGGCTCCGAAACGAAAACGGCAACCGTCTCGCTGGGCTTCTCTCCGCCGCACGACCCTTCCATGGAAACTTCATCTTCATGAAGAAAGAATATTGCTGGCGAACATAGGAATAGCCCGACTGAGCGAACAGTGCGAGGATTGACCACAATCTCACCAACCGAAAGTGGAGCTTGCTCGATGTCTCAGTACTTCAATCCTTCTGCAGTGGCTCCGACCAGCGTTTCCTGCGATTTACTTTAATGCCGGAAAAGAAAGTCTGTCACAGTGCCGCAAGAATGAAAGAAGTCGTTTATGAAGGTAACAGGCTGGAAAAACTATTATCAAGTTGTGACTGGCCCACCGAGAAGGACCCAACGTACGAGACAACTTTTGAAAGGACTGCGAGCCTACGGATAGTGCGTCTCAGTGACTTCTGAGAAAAACTAGGAACGCATTCCGAATACCACCAAGATAATGTTCTAAAAAACAAGATTTTTAAGGCAGCATCCGAAGCAAGTCTTTTTGAGCGACTGATAACCAACGCCAATTGCAGAACAGCTTGCAGGACAATTAAAAATTCAGAAAGTGCAGGCAAGCTTGAATAATGGGAGCAAACGAAGAAAGACGAAGTCTTAAGATGTCAAAGGGATCTCTGCGAATACCACGTCCGCTGGCTGCACTACTGAACGAAGACGGGACTCCGACTTCTCCCCGATCCAAGTTGGAATCTATTGTGAAGAACTTCTACACCAATCTCTGCTCATCAACACCCTTGCCGGTGCCCGTTGTTCCCACTGGAGAAAACCACAACGAATTCCACCTGCTGAAATGCGCGCAGTGATTCAGACTATGAAGACATTCACGACTTGACCAAACCATTTTTTCGTTAAATTTCTGCGAGCAGGAGGACAATTTCTACGATTATCGCTTCGCACTTGACATCTTACTTTTATAAAAAGGGATTCCAGACCAGTGGAAAACGTCAAAAACCGTCCTTTTTTTAAAGAAGGTTGAACGAAAGGGTCTTTGAAACTACCGTCCAATATGCCTGCTGAGTGTGCTGTACAAGCTCACAAAGATTATCCTCGCTCGCATATCTACGACACTGGATGAAGCCCCGTAAGAACAAGCGGGATTTTGCATAGGATTCAGCTGCACGGACAGAAGTCTGTCGGGGGACTGCCGGTCGTCCTAACCTTCGTCGAGAAGAGAAAGCCTTTGGTTACGTGAGGACGCTAACTGACTTTCACAAGAACAGTACAACGACGATGCTGCTGTTCCATCCCCTGACCATCGCAATGAAGGCTTTCTGAAAAGGCAACACAGACTCGCCGAAACTGTTCGCTGCGCCTTCTAGGGTTAATGACTGGACACTGGATTAAGAAAGGCATACGAGTTAATAGGAGATTTCTATTGAACCTTCGTTTTGTGGACGACATCGTTTTCTTCTCGAGCAGAATCACTGAGGCAGAGACAATGCTGAAGGTGATACACGAAGCACAGGTGCGATAGTGTGAGAATTTTCTCACCCCCTCTTCACCCCTGAGCCGGGACTAAGGTGACCCCCTTCACCAAAAGCCGAGAAACACAACAGTGAGGTAAGGTAAGCAAAGGAGCTATTTGTACGTGAAATGTTTATGTACAGGAATGGAGGAGTATGTTGAAAAAAGTGCCTGGGTGAAGGGTGTCCTAGTGATTTTTGGAGATTTTCGAGTTTTCAACAAAAAAAATTCATAACTTTTGTAGATGAACATATTTCACGGCGAGATAGGCACCACTGGAACCGCCTCGTCCTCTTTTTTCAGAGGGCATAAAGCATATCTGAGATCCGTTCAAGGAAGTGCGGGAAGGGTGTGCCAACTAATTTTTACGAATTTTCGAACTCTTAACGAAAAAAATTTAGTAAATTTCGTATATGAACATCTTGTACGCCATGATGGTCACCGCTGAAACCGTCTCGTCCTCCGCTTTCAAAAAATATTTACTTTGCCTAGGATCCTTCATAAAAAGTGCCGGGTGAAGGGTGGTGAGACTTTTATAATGGGAGTGCACAAGTATAGGCTTAACCATTGTAAAAAGACGTCTACTTGAGCACCCCCACTATAAAAGTCTCACCCACCCTTCACCCAGGCGCTTTTTTCAATGGACTATATCCAAAGTATATATCGTTTGAAAGCGGAGGACAAGACTGTTTCAATGGTGACCATCTTGGCGTACAAGATATTCATCTTCAGAAGTTACGGATTTTTCTATCTTAAAAACTCGTAAATATCCAGAAATCACTACCCACACTCTTCACCAGGCACTTTTTTAACAGACGCCAGGCAAACTATGTATTCTCTAAAAGCGGAAGACAAGGTGGTCTCAAAAACATTTTCCTTGCTGACGTTGCTGTTCATCTACAGAAATTATAAATTTCTTCTTTAAAAAAAATTCGTAAATGTTTAAAAATTGTCTAACCTTTCCGAAACAAATGTTATCGCATGCACCTTCTATGGTAATTCCAAAAACAGGCAGGGTGATGTGAAAAAGGAAAAGGAAATGTTAAAAAAATGCAAGGTGCTGGTCAGAAATATAATTGTGTGCTAATCCAGCAGCATATCGGTTCACAATTCAGAAAAAAGATAACCAGTGATGGTAAGGAATAAATTATGAACTTTGACTAGGAAAAATGATGAGAAAACACCATGGCTCTCCCCCCCCCCCCGTCGACATTTTATAATTTCTCTACCAAGTGAAACACCCTTCACCGTGGAGAGGCTGCGACCACTGTAACCCGCTTCACCTGGAAGAGTCATTCTCACCTTATCGCACCTGTGACACGAAGTAGGTTAGAAGATAGTATTGCAAATAAATTGGAAGAAGACTCAGTTCATGAAGGCCTTTGCAAAGATGCAGAAATGGAAGTGGAATGTACACTTATCATGAAGACGTTTCTTACGTGTATCTCGGATGTTCGCGAACATGGAGAACGAATTGGGAAAAGAGCATAACATAACAGAAAAAGAAGAGCAGCCTGAGCCGCCTTCGGGCCTCTAAAAGAAGCCACCGACCAAATTACGGGCTCGAAGTTTCGTGCCTATTGGTTAGACTCAACCGTTCTTCGGCGCTCTGTTATACAGCTGAGACTTGGGCTGACACAGTAGCAACGTCAAAAACTCTACGGACCACCCACAGAGCGCTTGACCGCGGTCTTTTGAAGATGACCTGATAAAACAACATCTTGTCGGAATTCGCACTGCGGATATAAGAAGAATGTCTCGTTTTCCTGACTCAGCGGAATACGTTGCGAAAGCCAAACACCGATGGACCGTTCACATAGTGAGAAGAACAGACGACAGATGGACATTAAGAACAACGGAGTGGATTCCTCGCGAAGCACGTCCCCAAAGACCTTCAACAAAATGGGCAGATCTGTTCGGGTAATGGATGGACCAGCTATAATCAGCTAGATACGATTATCACACCTGGAACTCGTGGACGCAGCCGTTGTCGTCAACCAAGAAGATCGTCTGAAGCAAGGGACAAGGGGGAATGGAAAGTTTCGTGCTGGAGCCCGCACGTCACGTGAAACCGGACCATCTAGCTATCTAGCAAGGAAAAAAATCCCAAATCGCCCCGACCAATGCAGATAACGCATATATCATCGTAATGCGCTTGAAACGCTGATTCAAACCTGTACTTTTTAGCTACGGAACGGTTTTGTAAAAGCCAGGGTTGAGGCGCCCTTCAACATGTCGATCTTGTCTAGGAGCTATAAGAAACATAAAATAGTGGCAACTTTTAATGGTAAGTGACTTGAATAAAGTTTCAATACTTACTATTACTATTACAGTACTTTCTGCAGCTAGAGATTGCGGATCTGTGATTAGCGTTCTAAGCACACTACGCTGGTATTTGCCTCATCTGGATTGATGGGGATAATTTAAGATCCTTTGTATGTGAGTAAAGTAGGTGCTAGATTTATCCTGTTTAACAGGTTCATTGGTTCACTCCCTCTGCTATTGCTTAGGGCATTGATTTGAGCAATAGCGAATGAGTGAACCGGACGAACCGGTTAAGCGGGATAAGTATGGCACCTTCTTCAAAAGGTGCTGCGTACTGTACTCCTAAATTTTCATACTTGTTTCCTTCCAACTTTTGTTTATAATTTAGCTTCTAGGCAAGTTAGAGTTTGAATGTCGATTAGACTAAACTTTATGTCTTCCTTCTTGATTGATACCCTTTCTATCCACCTTTTCGTGTCCATAATACAGCACATCCAAATTGCTGTAGAATATTCCTACTTACACAATCTAAACAATCGTTCGCGAGGTTTTTGAGCAATGCATCACTTGCATTATCTTCCACTTTGTAAGCAAATTTTTCCTTATCTGTCATATTAATTTTAATTAAGGTCTGTTGCCTTTTTGAGCTGATATGCTTTACGCTAATGCTCACTACAATGTGGAAACCGGGGAAGGGAACGGAAAATATAGGGATGGGGGGTCGTACGGATGGCACTTTTAGAGAGAGAGGGGGGGGGGGAATAAAAAAGTTTCGGATCGCGTCAACATGCTTGACCCTATACCCAACCTTTCCTTCTTTTAAATTTTAGTCTTGCCTCTCCAAGGCAAGGCGATAAGGAAAAGGATAGATTGTGTACTCCTGCATCCAGACGTTTCATTATTTCGTCTAGCAAACGCATTCGGCGATCTCGCACTTTTTAGGCTGTATTTCTGTATTATTCGCCGTTGTATGTTCCAAAAACTGACTGTTTTTATTTTATGTCTTTTTCAGGATAGGCAGCATGAGCACCAACAGCCGTGTATTTTGATGTGTGAATACACATAACACCTAAGATGTTTGCATCTAATAGTTGATAGTGGTGAAAATTAATTTTCACATAGTTAGTAATTTTTTAATAACTTTCTTATAGTTCCCATCATTTGCACGCATTCAGACAAGCAGTAAAGATTTTTGAACCTGTTTTTTTAATGCAAAACGGACGTCAAAAGATACACGCAGTTTGTTTAGTATGCACATTGGCACAAATCAAAATAGGAATGAGTGAACTAACAAGGAAAGGAAGGAATCAAAGTGGCTTTTCAATATGAGATGAGTACTGCCTTATGGCGTAAGAAACGCTGATTCCAAATTAAACTACCTCATTTGCTGCGGATATGGGCGAGTAGTTAGGAGGGTTTTATGAGCAAAAACTTGAATGCGCAGCTGAGATAAAATCATTAGTAAAATTATTCCTGCGGCTTTAATAATGTTTGGGTTTTTCTGAGCAATAAATATCCTCAATTCGTGCATATTCATTCAGCGCTGCCTCATTGGAACGAAACAGGCCAATGATTGTTTCACACTGGTCATGCGGCATTGAAATTTTTATCCATAAACCTTCATGACTTGTTGTGCATAAACCCGCAGCAGATGAGAAAGATAGATTCGGAGTCAGAGTTTCATACACTTCAAGTCGATATACATCTTGTATTAATAAGCTACTTCGACCAGCCTTCCTTTCCTTGTAAGTGCGCATACTTACATTACAGACATTTTTGTCAGCATACTCGTAAGTACAAAATGTATTGGTTTTCTTGTGAGGATAGAATCTTTTACAATTAGCGTCAGGCATTCTTACACCTAAATTAAGTCAAATTAGGCCAATTTGCGTTTTTTATTGCTCACCCAAATCGATTTTTTGAAGATATGGCGTGGGAGCGTCTGTAAATCCTTTCTTCGTTGCTACAAACACTAAGATAATAATTCTAAATATGCTTTGATTAATGATACCTTACGGTCAACTCCCCATCCATAAGAATACAACTTTGTAGACTGTAGATCGAAAAGCTCGTCAGTCTTATGAAATTGTGGAAGACAAATATGGTTGATTTCCTTTGGTATGTCTTCCGTGAGTTCGAGAATTGCTATATCTTCGTTGCCACCACAGTTTTTTTCAAAGAAAAGACTATAATACGCTCTGAAATTATAGTTCAACTGTAACTTATGATAAGAATACAACATCAGCACTTACTTTTTGACGCTCATAGTTTTACCTACATCTTTTTCAGTACAATTGAAATTTTTATCCTTCTTCAGGCAAATTCCACCGACAGTTACTGTTGTTTTTGCTACTACCACATCCGGAGAATACATATCGCGCAACCTACAACAATGGAAATGTATGGATAATTTGCAAAAGAATAAAGTGTGCTGAAGCACGAGACTTTACAATTTTGTAAGACGTAAGCACGTGAACTGGCACATACGGGGTGTCCCAAATGTGCCTACTGTTTGATTGTTAAACTCTTTGGTGATAAAGTCTTTCAAAAAGCTTTATGTGCCGTTTTGTAGAGCTAGCTTAAACTTAGATTACAGCATAGAACAAATCTTGTCTTACAAAGTATTTCGCAACCCCGCTAACGAGCGTAAAATCTAAATCGTCATTTGGTTGTCTTCGTCCATTAACATTACATTAATGTGATGTACAAGGTGTCCCAAAAAAATGTGCCTACTTTTTGACTGTTCAACCCTCTTGTAATAAAGTTTTTCAAGAAGCTTTAAGTACCGTTTTGTAGAGCTAGCTTCGACTTAAATTTGCAGTATAGAGTGAAGCACTAATCGGTCTTCATTACTGTGTAAATACGGTAAAAACTTCATGTACATTGTGTCACTGTGAAAAAGGCCCAGTGGGAAAGTTTTCAGCTGTCCTGTTTCCTTTCTTAGGCAAAGTATGGTCTTTCATGTCTGAGAACCTCCTTTGAAGTTTCTACCGTAATCCAACTTTATTCATTACTGTACGACTACGGTAGAAACTTCAAAGAGGGTTTCTCAGACATGAAAGACCATATTTTGCCTCAGAAAGGGAACAGAACGGCTGAAAAGTTTCACACTGGGCTAATTAGAGCTGCTGATTTTAAACGTAAAGTTCGCAACTTATCCTGATGCTCTTCATTAAAAAGTTGCGCGTGGTAAGCAGTAGCGGCCGTTCTTTCGATGTTTCTAAAACTGCGGTTAAACTGGTCAGAAAGCTTCGCGATCTTGTACATAGTTGAGTATTGGACTCAGCGTCCACGAAAACACTATTTCACAAGTTTTCATATTTTTTGAATACTTTTTAAACGGCAGCCTTTTTACAGTGACACAATGTACATGAAGTTTCTACCGTAGCTATACACTAAAAACCGATCAGTGCTTTGCTCTATATTGTAAATTCAAGTCGAAGCCAGCTCTACAAAACGGTACTTAAAGCTTCTTGAAAGACTTTATTATAAGAGGGTTATTAACAGTCAAAAAGTAAAAACATTTTTTGGGACACCCTGCACATCACATTAATGTAGTGTTAGTGGACGAAGACAACCAAATGACGCACTTTAGACATTACGCTCATTAGCGGGGTTGCGAAACTTTGTAAGGCCTCGGACAGACTTCACGCGATTTGATCGTCGCGACTGAATCGCGACGAGACAACTGTTACAACATCATTCCATGCCGATCAACCTTTATTTCGGTTGTGATACTTTTCCAGCCCGAAATTTTGTAATGTGAAATGAAAATGAATGGGAATGTTGGCGATTGAGTTGCGACGATCAAATCGCGTGAAGTCTGTCCGGGGCCTAGGACAAATCTGCATAAAGGCTGCTGCATGACGAAGGCGCAGAAGCAGTATTAGTTGAGCGGGCGCGAACGCGGCGCGCGCGTATCCTCAGGTAGGTGCCAGACGCCTGTTCAACAGATTCATCAGGTTCACCCCTCTGCTATTGGTCAGTGCTCTAATTTGACTAATAGCGAATGAGTGAACCGGACGAACCGGTTGAACAGGATAAGTCTGGCACCTGCCTCACCGTTGTAAATTCTGCGCCTCATACGCTCTGCGGCTAATATAACCGCAATCGCGCCGAAAGGTATTGCGCCTTCGTTATGCAGCAAATTCTAGTTCTTTCCTTGCTGTATTAGAAAAGATCTAATAACAAGTTATCTCCAGCATTAAAAATTTATGCGTCCACTGTTTCGCGACTACTTATGCTCATTCACCTGGCAATGTCAAATACAAAACAGCGTTAGAAATTCTCCCTACTTGCTTTTTATCCCCGGAATCCCCATGCTCACTTACCCCCCTGTGCCAGCTCCCAGCCCCGTAGCACAAATTTTGCAATAAATCGATAAAATCGATATTGATCGATACGAAAAGTAGCCTATGACACCCGCCGGGGCCCGAAGTGTATGTGTGCCAAGTTTGGTCCGGATCGGTTCAGAAATGGAATTTTCTATTCGGAACATACGTACAGACAGACATACATACAGACATACAGACAAACAGACATTCAGCTTTATATATAAGATAAATTCCAAGCGAGTCATGAGCTTAACTCATTCGAGATTTTCCTTCGCCCCAAGCGCGATCGGTTTAGTCATTTGTTTGATTATTTATTCCAATTGCTCGTTGTCGAGATTACTAGCACAGGAAAATATTATTTTAGGTTGAGAACTAGGTTTTGCAACATTCGATAATTTTTCTCTCTCTCAACGTGGCGCACTCAAATTTTGCCATCGTGTGGGTTACAAAGTAAGCCACAAAAGCCGGCAGCTCCCCTGCCAAATTCTAACGTCGCAGTGAGGGTTTCGATAGTTATAGGGTACAGGGGAAAAATTATAAAATTTTGCGGATTTGGCTGAAACTTGGCATAGGGGGTTATTCAACATGCTGATCACGAAAATGATACTGAAATTGCACGGTTAAGGCTTTTTGATAAGATTACTGTGAGCTTAGGACACAAGGTTTCATTCTTATCGTAAAAAGAGGCGTTGTTTCGACAAATGACTATGATATTCGTGTTTGTCAAGTTTTGAGGTTCCGACTGGTCATTGACGGTTGTTAGTGAAGGCGGCAAATCTCAAGTTATCTTCAAATTTTACTCCCTTTTTATCAAGTTTAATAAATCAAACTTAGACAATAATTCACACACAACTTCGGATCATTGCATGGTCTAAGATGGCCAACGGCTTCACTTTGGCTTACAACCCCGAAAATTCTCGGAATTTATCAGATTTCGAAACATGCCTCTAATTTTTCTATTTTGTTTTCAAATTACATACTTTTGCGCAGTTGTATAAGGCATTGCTTTTCATATATTGGCAAGGCTTGAGCAAGCAACATCCAAAGAGAGTAAAGTTATGAGGAAAGCTGCAAAACTTATTTTCCAACTTAATTATAATTTGTCTGAAGCCGTTTCTTTATGAGACTGCAAATGATTAGCAAGCTATCCCCACTGATAAGGAGCCGCTATTTGTTTTGATAATTACAGCGAATCTAGGCATTTTTCGCGAGTATTGTCTTTCCACTTCTCTTAGTGCTCCCAGCATAGCAATGTCGAGTAGCCAATAATCAATTATTAAGGCTTGTGGGCCTCAAAGGCACCGTCCACCCAGATTTCCGACTTCCGCGTTGTTGTCGTTTCAGAGCCTTCTCATGTCCCTGATTCCGATTACGAACTCAAGAATGCGCGAAAATCCCGACAGTCCCCGTTCCGGAGAACCCACAGGCCGGCTTTTCGGAACGGTGATTGAATGGGCGCGCACAAATAGGCGGGCCTGGATGGGGGTCCTCGTTCTTCGCTTTTCCGAAGAGATTTTCTCTCTTCCGAAGCTGCATTTTGCGCCGCCACTTGGACATTGGATTGATAGGGGGCCCTACTATCAAATGCTGCCAAAAGCTCATAACCCTCAACTTAGGATGCACGGTGCCTTTAAGCACCTGAATGTTGCCCGAAATGCCTAGTGCGCTTGCGCTTATTACATATGACGCATCTACCTTCAACCTAGCGCGTAGAGAAACAGAAGATGAATCACTAATAGTTTATCTTTATAACACAAAAGGGTACTAGTCAAAATAGAACCCCAACATAGGATAGGGTGCCCCGTTCCGTGCTATCTATGGTACGCGTACATATAACATCCGAACATAGCGTAGTGCTATCGAGGCTTCACCAATACAGATCCCCCACGCGTCGCCGGATGACAAATGCGACACCTCTTCGCTCCCAAAGTTCATAAGACCTTGTACTAATCGTATAATTTATTAAATCCCAAAAGTTAATGTATTAAATCCCAAAAGTTCCAGTGGCTCGTCCGAAACGATCTCAAATTCGGCTTGAATTTCAGTCCACTATAAATTACGCTAAACCGCTGCTGCGAAAGCGGAAACAAATGTGGAAGCTAAACTGCCAAGCACGAGCACGATGGAAAATAGAGAGAAGGTTGTCGATCGAAAATGAAAGCGGCGCCGCTGCTATAAATAGCCTTTTGGCTGGCAACGCGCCAAGGCGAATAAGAGTCCGGAGGCAATTAAAGCGCGACAAAGTACCGTGATCGTCGCTGGATAGCGCGGCAGCAACCAGTGCTCATGGCCTCCTACTTCTACGAGCCCTCGCATCGCAAAGCCGTGACACAAGGCTTCTGCCCATACTCCTTCTCTCGCAAGATGCCTTTTCTAGTCACCACTCCTTTGCAGACGACTGGTCACTCGATCGAAAATGATCGATCGAGTAAATCAATAAAACTCACTTGCAGTCATCCATAGATGGATCTTTCCAAAAACAGTGAGCAGCTGTGAGCACATGCCGCCTTGAAATTAGTGTACCGCCGCAAATGTCTTCAAGGAAGTTGGTGTTTATGTGAGAGAACTACAGTACAATCTCAGATTTACTCACTTCCGGACATGGTAATATTGATAAGCACTATCCACGGCATTTCACCTGGAACTGCTCTAGATCCGCCCATCACCTGAATTAGATAAGTGCAAACAAATAAGGGCGAAAATTTTAGCTGTTTTTATAAACTTTTGATACATTGCAATCAAACTAATCAATCATAATATTTCCACAATTTCGGGTCTGCGTATTTCACAATATCAAAATTGCTCTCAATTAGCACGATTTTTGCTCAGCTAGAAAGAGAAGGTTACAAAACCCAATGTTTATGACCGCTTCGGCCTTTGCTCTGACGTTTTTAAGGTTTTCGGGCATGCTTAAAAATGCAAAACTAAAGTAAATCATCTTTATTTGCTTCTAGGTCTCGATATTTTTCGTTTCAATTCTTGAGAAAGATACTATAGTAAAGTGCATAATTTTCTCTAGTAGATAAAAACATTCCAGAATTTTTTTGTGACCCTGTTCAAAAAATGGCAACCTTCAATAATTTCCTTTAGTTACTTTGAACTCTCGCACTTTCTCGTGGTAATTTACAAAAGAAATGCTGTCAAAAAGGAAGTCCGCTTTTGAACAAAAACATACCTAAGAAAATCTATCGAGATGGAAGAAAGTTACGTTTTTTGAAATCTGGCGAACGAACTTCTGGGCCCCACTAATATATTAGGTTGTGTTGTAAGTTCTGTCCCATTTTTTCTTTCGATTTTTCCTCAATATTTTGTGCGATGTTCTGCAAATTGTTTATATGCACTTGAATACTCTAGATTTTCTCTAGTAAAACTTTCATCTCGATTGTCTACATCAGATGAGTTGAAAAAGTTTCACAGCGTCATTGGAAAATCAAACAGGGAAAAAGTTTATTTTCGACAACTACTTACGTCGCTCTCCTAATTAGTCAGAATGCCTAGGAATAAGCTCGAAGAATTCGCTACACGTAAGCAAAGAATGCTCAAGCTTCTTTTGTGCTTCAAAAGCGCTAAAACTTTCCAAAAATCATTTTTGTAGAACTTAGAAAAGTCTTCTTTCTAAAGCCTTTTCAACGTTTGATGTTGGGCATCATCTGAAGGCATCCTAAGGAAAACGGTAGACGGATCATCCAGAAAATACCGAAGGGATGATTTATGGCTTCAATATTATCGAATCCATAGGTTAAATACTCAAAATTCGAACTTTGGGAGCCACACAGCTTGGCTGCGCGAGACGACGAACATCGCCGCGACAAAGTCTTGCCTTGCCGTCTTTTGAAAAAATGTATCAAATGGCCGGTGGAAGGAAAGGGAACATGCACAGACAGTGATACAATAAGTGTAAAAGTCCAGTAAATTGTTTTGATTGTGTCAAGCTTGTTTAGTAAGTTTTACCAATAAAAAACGAGAAAATTTTGGAGGAAAAAAGGTGTCGAAAATTGATTTTCCGGCTCTTTGAATTTTTTGTTGCAATGATATAAATCTTTTTCGGTATTCTGCTATGTCGGGAAATGATGCATATGAGCCTGCAGAGCAGACTTAGAGCTTCAAAAGCATATACACTTTATCTCAAATATAAACAATATTATCAAGATAATTCTTTAAAAAAATGGGACAGAACTTATTACACGACCTAATAAAACAGATTGTTTGGAAGTCTACAAAGTAAAAATCTTCTACCTTTTGTTGCATCGGATCATTGACATCATCAATATCGTTTCGATCGGGCTCTTCTTCCTGCTTATACTCTTCATCGTAAGTTTCCTTAGCATTCATAGTGCTGGTGCGCGCAGCGACATCTCTTTTGTGGGGTTGTACGGTTGCGTTCTCGCTTAAAAATGCTCTACCATTGATTACGTATTTGATTACATATACATCATTTTCATTTTAGTTAGCTGCACCATTGACTAACGCAATCTTCTGCTAGTGCAAATTACTCAATTCTATTAGGTGGGTTCGAAAGTCCAAAAGTTTTTTAGATCTGTTTTAAAATCGTTCAACATAAAGGTAGACGAATAGTTCAAACACTATCCGATGCAGAATTTCTTCCTCTTCTAGCAGCTGTGTTTTCGTTGTGACTGTTTCGACGAGCGCTGAGATAATTGCCGCAGACTAAAACCCTTTATTTTTACCATGTCTATGTTTCGCTAATTTTCAACATTTTCATTTTAGAATTTTGAAGGACTATAAAAATTTCCTGATAAGGCGAAAGATTAGTGCAATTTTTTGCATTTTCTCAGCTCCCTCTTTAGAAATTTGCTGGATTATTTTACCAGAGCACTGAATTTTTAAGCAATCGCTTGACACATAATTGCACCAAACACGGCGAAATACCCGCAATACTGAAGTTCTTGGACTCGGTTATTACGATCACTAGAAGTACGAAGTAAATGAGTGATTACTGCGTAAAAATGGATAAATTTTCGATTTTCGACTACAACCTTGCGCACCCGCAAGATTGAGAAGTACAGCGATTTTGTCTGGAAAAGTCGCCTATTTCGCGAAGAAAAGGCAGCTTAGAAAGAGGAGAAAAATATGCACCGATTGATACCTGAACTGTTCAACGTCTGATGTTCTGCGAGGTTAGAATGACCCAGTATAAAAATTGGTCACTTCGGAAAAATATATTTTAGTATTTTCAAAAAGCATGCTAGAGAGATGCAAAAAATTGCGTTAATTTGAAAAAGGTTTGCCTTATCAGGTGGTTATTAGAGTACCTTCAAAAATCTAAAATGAAAATTCTGGAAATTAGCGAAAGCAGACTTAATGAAGGGTTCTAATTTTCGACAATTATCTTAGCGCTCTTCGAAACAGTCACAGAGAAAACACTGCTGCTGGAAAGAGGAAGAAGTTTTGCATTGGATAGTGTTTGAACTATTTGTCTACCTTCATGTTGAACGATTTTAGAACAGGTCTAAAAAACGGTACTGACCTTCGACCCACTTAATAAAAGCAGGTTGCAGACTTCGAAAGCGGAAATTGAGTGCGCATGCACTACTACATGTTTTCCTTTTTACAGATAATGGTAACTCTAAATGCAAAAAGTTTACCGGAGGAAACTTAAAGGCAGCGTACACCCAAAATTTCACCATCGATGTTTTTGTCATTCTAGGGACTTTCCGTGCCGCTGATGACAGCTATGTCATTGAAATCCTCCAAAAGTCCCAAAAAACCCCGATTTCCGGGGACTCTCTCTTCAGGGGCGGACGAGTTTCGAACTGCTCGTCCCCGTCGGCATGCCAGCAGCTGCAACAGCATGACAACCTGCAGTTGCAACTGCAACTGCTGCATATGCTGTCGTGGTTCGTCGCCCGAAGGAGGCGCACCGCAAAAAGCAACTGCACTGTTGCAACTGCAGTTGCAGATGCAACAGCATTGCAACAGCAACTGCAACGGCAACTGAAGCTTACGCTGTCGTGGATTCGTCCGGAGGAGGCGGAGCGAAAGAAAAGGGGCGTAGTGAAAGAAAATTGAGGGGGGTTTTCTCCGCTCAAAAGCAATATTGGGAGACCGGACCAACGCAGTTGGTCTTCTTCTGGCCCAGTATATACACGGTATAGAAAGATCTAGGAAATTCGGTAACTTAGATTTTGGGTGTACGCTGCCTTTAAACACAGAGTGTCACAAAATCAAAGTTCTTGAACTGGTTAAGATCGTGTTCAATATGCTCACGCCTCATATACAGTTTCAGCATGCAAGTAAATCAATAGAACAAACTTCAATGCTTGGAGGCCTTCAGAACCATCCATACGTCTGACGCTGGTAATTAATCAATACTACATTCTATTCACAATATAATAACTCTTTCCGTTCAAGAGCTTAAGGTTTTTAAATAGTGTTGTTTGCTATACCTTACTTTGTAACTTCATTACCGAGGCTTGTTCATGCAATTAGAGCGCGCACATTAACACAGTTGGTATCCTATTTGAAAAAAGTTTTTCAAAATAGAGCATCAAAATTCTTTTACTCTTACTGTACACAAACGTGAAGCACATGCTTTTGGCCACCCTGTACATTCACTATTGCGGCACCGTCATACCTTCGATAGTTAAAAGACAGAGCCTAGAAAGTGATAGTTGTTTGAGTTCCTGCCCATTAAAAGTGAATGTTGTTTAAAAAAAAATAGATGGAAATTTAGAGATCTGAATTGAACCAAGTCTGGAATAGGAAAACGCTGCAGACCTCACTTAGGTCCTTTACTCACTAATCGCAAGCGCGGCAGGATTCGAACTAAAACACATTACTACTCAGACCTCAGCTTTCCCAAATATTGGAGATTGCCTATTCCAGACAAGCCGCCCACTTTCCAAAAAGTTTGTTTGAGGATCTTTTGCATGCGAAAACATTCCCCATCTCATTTCAGTTTTATTTCTCATCCCCCAATTCCATTTCCAACGTATTCACCAGCCGGTGAGAGCGTTCGAGAAAGAATGAAACTGCTAGACTGATGATCTCCGTTCAACACTTTCAACACCGGCAACACTTTCAACACTTTCAACACTGGCAACACTTTCAACACTTTCAACACTTTCAACACCGGCAACACGGCAAAGTATGGCCAAAGCCTAAATACCATTCTGTAATGCAAGCTTCAACATAGTTTTGAGATTCATCGAACCCCTTTAGTGTAGGATGAGCAACTTTTAAGCATTACTTTATGGAAATGCACTTGCATTGCATGTGCATTCACCATAAATCAAATTTAACTGACAGCTCCGGAGTAGCTAAAGTACTGTCGCACTATCTTCGAGAGTATAGAAACTCTACTATCAGCAAAAACCCTTCATGCCTTCAACAAATTCTCAGCCAATCTCGAACCAGATTTGCTACAAGAAACACCTAATATATGACATTCACTTACATTTTACTCTTTACATATTCAGCAGTAGGTAATCCGCAGCTATGGCGATCTGCAAAAGGGCAGGGAAGGGAACGTAACAAAAAGATCGGCATATAACGAGAGCAAGCGTTCAAGTTATACCCACCATAATAGTTCGCAGTTAATGCTTCCAAAATTAGTAAGGTCGTTAGCAGAGCTTTGAAGAAGTGGCTCATCAATGCTCAATTATAAGAGACACCTGGGTTAGAAATGAGAATTACTAGCAGAATGACTTGCCATTTTGGATGTGATAACAGGGTGTTGACGTGGTGTATTCGAAAATAAGGATCCGCCAGTTACATCATGACAGTTAAACAGTACGCGTTTATTTTTGCAACATGCCCAATAAACTTCCGTTTACTTCCTCAATGCTTGACTTATAAGTACATTTTTGAATCATCGCACCTCGAAGTACTAGGTGTAGGTTATTTTTCAGCAAGGCTTGTTGTTTGTTTTCTCCCAGAGGCTGCTCAGAGCAGATCAAAGCGGTTTTTCAAGAATATTCTAGTATGGTACACACAAAATTTGCACCCATAAGTTTTTCGAAATACGGATTATGTTGGGGAGGCAAGATTTTCTGCAGGAAGATAATTTGAGCTGAACACCATTAATTTGAGCTGAACACCATCTCCTTGATTTTCACTGAGGCGTATGATGCAGTTTTGAGTGATGAAAATTGTGTACAGTTATCTACATTATATGCTTGATGTTTTGTGAAAATTTCCATAAACCATATTTTTGTGAGCTGATTTATTACAAGTGTCGGGTGTGTTAAATTGGAAGCAGGGGAGATTTTACAGTCCGCTGATTTTTTTTGTTATCAGCACCCTAAAAATTCGGGAATGGCAAGGAAGAAAGCAACACAAACGTTAAACTCAGCCAAATCGTAGCAAAAACAAGTTGTTATGGTTTATAATATACCATAGGGTTGTTCCATACAACCGCACTGACCGCAGTGAACTCGCTGACAGCAGAATGCATTGGCCGCAACAGCCTCAGCAATCGTTGCAGACCTAGCGCAAAAAGAAACAGTAGGCGCAACTAAGCGCGCAACACCTTAAGTTTACACCGTGTAAAGTCATATTGTCAAACTACAGGTGTATCTGAGGCTAGATTGTTAGGTTTGTGGGTACTTAATGTAAACCAATCGAGTCTCGGGCGCCCCCGAGCTTACACTTAGGGCGGTGGCATTTCCCCAATGCCAATCACCTCTATTCTTCCTCGCCGTTGAAGTCTGCTTCTGCGGCTCAAGCGGACTTTCATTAGCGGATTTTTTCTTGTTGATTTTTGTAACCGTTGCATTTTACATGGGGAATTAAGTGTAGTAAAGTATTATTTTTTTCCATCTATTAGGTGCTTTCTGCTTGCTGTGGTGCTGGCAGTTCTGTTGGCGCACCTTGCGTGTTTACCAAATAAATAAATATTCCCAATTTCTCCAGTGTCAATCAAATCTTCCTTGCCTCTTCTTATCATGTCGTTCTAATCTTGATTCCTTGCGAAATCTTTATTGTTAAGGTGAGCTGCAAATCTGAAGCTATTGCGGAAACTCATGCTTCACAATTTTTTAACGCTTTGAACTTCCTGGATTTTGGGTGTAAATGTAAAGTGAAAAAAAGTCATCCAAACTTACGAAAGAAGGTCTCTAGGTAGCTGTGTGAAAGCATGTGTCGCTCAAACAGGAACAGCTAAGCTCAGTATCATCCTACTATAATAACGCGCTAAGGCCGTCTGTTTTTTTGTGCGTGTGTTTGTGTGAAAATCTGTCTGTCACGAAATTCATAGAGGAAGCTGCAACTAAGCTATCGGGCCGCAATTTTGCATAACATACCGTTCCAGCGTGTAGGCCCACCATGTACAAGGACGAGCCGGTTCGATGAGCGGGTCCCTCAAATGCGCGTCAAACGGGTCCACGCGCCTTTTGGCACGCAAAACTGGGTCGCTAATTCGACTTTTTGCAAAGTTATGATTTGCTTGACAAGTAACTCTGCGCGCCATGAATTCTAGCCCAAAAAGTGCTCAAAAAATTTGCTATTTTTGCGAAAACAGAAAGTGATGAACGCGTAGATACTCGATTTGACAAGGTTTTATTTGAAAAAACTGAGAAGGTTTTTGCACTGAAATGTAGCCCAAGGTGACTATTATCCTTATGACGATTATCAAACTAAAATAAATTTAGCAATCCGTTCAAATTCGCGTTTGATTCCCTGCAACAAAGTTTTTTCTCCAATTTACGATCTTACATGGAGATGCTTCATGAATGAACAGTTGTTTACGATTCATTTGTGATTCTCAGCATCGCATGATGAGTTTCAAAACCATTTCTCATGCGAATATGTGAAAGACATACGGATAGGGAGCCAGTGCGAACCTCCGCTAAGCGAAGGTGACGCACTGGTAACTATAATAAGTGTGTGTGTGTGTGTGTGTGTGTGTGTGTGTGTGTGTGTGTGTGTGTGTGTGTGTGTGTGTGTGTGTGTGTGTGTGTGTGTGTGTGTGTGTGTGTGTGTGTGTGTGTGTGTGTGTGTGTGTGTGTGTGTGTGTGTGTGTGTGTGTGTGTGTGTGTGTGTGTGTTACGAAATTCATACAGCAAGTTTTAGCCAACGCCCTGAGCCCAAATTTGGGAGGAAGGCCCTCTCTCCGAGAATGGGTCGCGAAATTTTTAGAAGGTACTTACACGAGTAATGAAAATGTGCAAGTTACTTGTTTTTACTTGTGAATCATTGGAAAATTTTTTTAAATTTTCTGAAAATTCGGTGGCCTTATAAAAATCCTTGAGGGCGTGGCGCCATCCACACTTCCTTTTTTTTTAATTTTGTGGCTAGGGGCTCGCAAAAATTTTGGAAAGCATTCCAAAGAATTTTTCGGAGTGCGTGGCTAACGCCACGCACTTTCATAAGAGAAGAGTTTTTGCCCCCCTCCCCGAACGAAAATCCTGGGTAGGCCACTGATGGTGGGGTACTAACGCAGTGCAGAGCACGGCTCCTATTAATGCAGTCCGATCAAAAAAGGCGCATTCTAAAGCAAAAAAAAGCTCCGAAAGAGCTAAAACCAGGGAAAAGTCTCCGAGTACGCCTACAATAGGTCGATGGGCGTTGTCTCCCATCCGTGCTCGCCCGTCCAGTCGTCGTTTACAGAACATCCGCGGGTTCTCTGAAACAGGGACTGTCAAGGTCGCGGTTCTCAACTTCAATATTCGGAACCAGGGAAATGAGAAGGTAACGGAAAGACAAGAACATGGAAGTGGAGAATCTGAGTAGACGAGGCCCTTAAAGTATCAGCCCGTCCCAGAAGCAAACTCCTCTTTGGAATGAATCAAAACGCTTTGTTTTCTATCGGGCAATATTCGCTATAGCAAAGCGAGCTCTACAACATGACCAACATGAGTCACCTAAGCGGTGTTCCTAGCAAAGTTTGGAGCTAAATCGAAAAAAATATTGGAAATCGATATTTTGAAAATGCGAGGATTCAGAATAGTAGTCATATAGAAGGTGCATAGTGGGTATCCAAGAATGCATTAGGAATTTTCCTGCGCATAGAAATGAAAAAAGATAAAATGGCAAGTTTCGTCCCCAGCTTTTCCCACATATGCGAGTATAACGCAGGTCCTAGTAGGCAACGGCTTTTATTCCTTTGTATATGTTTTGGTAATCAAGAGCCAAAGTTCCAGAAAGTGACATTCTTGCATTTTCAGTTCAATTTCGTTTTCCAATTTTGAGCCGCTGAAGAAAATTTAGCAAATTTATTTATTCCACCATGTGTCTACTGCTTGATGAAGTTAGAGGTTTGTAGGAATTTTTTGGAAGGATACTCTTTTTCATAGTTGATAGTTTAGTTTAGTTTTGATTCCAAACTTATGAATTACGACTTGGGAGAATCTTTGGTTGTCATTTTGTAAACCAATCATTTTGTAGAGCTTGCTTTGCTCTACTGAATCGTTTTCCAAGTCTATCAAAAAAACATTCTGGTTTATTTAGAAAAGCTATTTTCGGGAAAACTTAATACAACACCGTTATATGATTGGTTGAAAAATTGAGACATAACGCCCCTGAAAAAGATTGTTGCACTTGCGAACAAACGCGCCATACGCACGTGTTGTAATCCATAAATTAAAATAATGCCGCTGGTAAAGTAATATCTGAGAGGCAGAAGCGGTGATTCTGGTACAAGACTAGGAAGACGTGAGCATGCTGATTACGGAAAGATATCTATCTACGAAATTACTATTACTATGTGTCCATAAATTCTTTATTAGCATGTGTCCATGATTTACGTAGACAGATCAAACCAAAGTCAAATAGTTTGACTGGAGAACAGAAGTCAACTACTTGATTTTGCGACAGCGACTATGTGGGCTTATTAGCTTGAAGTACTTGATAAAGAGTGTGGCCGTTTTTTGTTCACAGGTTTTAACAATAAGCTCAAAAAAGTTAGAATAATTAGATGAGCAGCAGAACAACGTAAGCGTCGTCAAAGTCGCATCGAAATTATTATGATCGGGCAAGACGAAAAAGAAAAGCGGTAAACTTCTTGTTAGCCTCACTAAATTATAATTCTACGGTAGCGTGGTTGCTGTGAAGGATTATGACTGTTGTAAACTATAATCGCTCCTCTATCGTCATGTTCACGAAATAAGTATTGGTCATCATATGGCATTGGTCTGATTCTTGTATAGCATACCAAATTAACACGTTTCGGTGCTGCACATGGTGCAGCACGCTGCTTTGAAGGATTTTTTGACGTGTACAGGAGGTTTTTTCCTAGTCCAAGGTTATCAAGTCAAAATCCCATGCTTCTACTTTTCAGATGTCTCGGTAGAGTTGTGTCGCCGATATCTGTTTAGGGGATATGAGCACAAATCGAACAACAGTTTCCACGAAGTGTGGCAACGCGAACGACGCGCGCGACGTCGCAACTTTTCTTTGCTTCGATATGGAAGGGAAGAACCGTAGTTGATGTATACCGTTTATAACATAGATATTTTTGAATACTATTCAAAACTAAGTTCTTGTTTCTATCTTTCAGGAAAGCACAGAAGTCCTTCTTAAGCGACAAAATTTAAACACTCCGCTTTCATTTAGAACTTAGTATATGGAACTTATATGACAAGCTGATTACAGATGTAGCACACAGTCTACGAAATAGAGTTTCTTTGTTGGCCAATAGCTGAAGGTATACTCTTTTTTACCGCGCGCGATTTCGCGATCTAAACGTTTTTTTAACTTATAGAGCTTTATGAAGCTTTACGATTCACTATCTACTTCAGTTTTCATAAATTCCTATAGTCTCAATTGTGTCTTTTAAACATGATAGACTTGTTTTCAAGAATTAAAAAAGTCAAGCTTTCTTCTATGATAAAGCACTATTTTTATTGGTCTCTGCAATACATTCCGTTTCATTTAGTCTTCAAACAGCTATAGAAGAGCTACCAGAAACATCCGCCGCAATTTTTGTCTCGAAAAGTTTCATTCCTTGTATCATCAGAAAGCCAAAACAAGTAGAAGTTTGATTGATGACCCAGTGTAAAGTTCGTGCTAATTTGTGCTAACGAATGGCATGAAACCAAAAAAGCTTATTCGGAAATGAGTTTAAAGGGTCATTTCCAGAAGTGTCAGATTCTAAAGTACGCTAGCCTTTGCAAAATGTCACTCTATCAAGAAGAGGTGAAGGAGAGACAAAAAAGGTATTTTGAACTGGTGTACAAAAGGGGAAAGAAAATGTTTTAGAAAATGTTCTCCTAACATCCCTTTAGACCCGCTATAGCTGCTCTCTTGAAAACGATGAAAAATTCAAAAAAGATTTCTTATCGCCTCTCAATCTCTTGTGCTTTCATAATGTCTCACATTATCCCTTTACACTTACTGAAATGCACTTACAACATTCTTGTAAGGCCTCTGTAATACTAAATCTCGTTTGCGTTTTTTTTTCTGAGAAAAACAACTTTCGGTTTGACATATGACATCTCGTCTCAGGTCATCAAAAAAAGCGTTGACAAAAAGTAAGAACGCGTCTTCTGGGTCATGTCGCACACCATATATTGAGTCCAATTTTAGTTGTAAGTGTTCGAACTTTGCCCATGGGAACGTGGCAGAATATAACTTCAATTACTTGATTGTAATGTGAGTAATGCAAAAAGAAAATCATCCTTCGTGTACAGTGCTGGACAAAATTATAGTTCCACTCTAAAAAGTACCATAACTCACTCTGTTGCCAATACAATGTTCCAAAATTTCGTACAGCCGTGTGTTTACCAGCCTACTATCAGTCGTCAAAATGGGTTTCGTTGGTTATTCAAGAAAAAATTGAAAATTTTGAAAAAACCGGCTTGAAGGCTGGACAAAATTATAAGTCTACCTGGAGTTTTTACTGATTAAAGCATTTCTTAGTTCCGGAACTTCTTTAGGTAGGTACACATCCAAAAACGTTAAACAGCTGCTTTAGTCAAGCTGTGTCATATCTCCAAAAAGAACTGATTATCTGTTTTTTTTTGCCTTGAAAATGCTTACACATGTATTTCGCTCCACAAACCTGCGTTGAGTAAGAAATTCTGCAGTTCCTCAGCTGGATCGAGAGGGACGGGGTTTTATCAATCTTCGGGATGCTTTTTGACGTGAGCATTCAAGAAAGAATCTGACTTTTTGCGGCTGAAGCAAATCCGAAATCGGCTCAATCGGGAGGGTAAGCCTCAGTTTCTGCCCTAAAACCCTTTATGCCTTGCCATCATGACCTCAAGATATTGTAAAAGCATTTTTTACACAAGAATAAAGCTGTTCGCCATACTCGCAAGTGTCCACAAAGCTGCCTGCTTCTTTTTCGAAACATGGGTTGTGTGTGCAACGTAATGATGGTGTTACGCAGATCCAAATAACTTGCCAAGTGCTACCTCACTTAGATTTTTGACAGTAATTATTTACTAGATAGTGGATACAGCTTGTAGTGTATGTTAGCACATGATTCTTCTGAAATTTTGGTCGGAGCCGCAAATAGCTTTGGTGCTTGTCGTAATCAGTTTCTGCAGGGTGATTTCAGTAATTATACTCGAATGCTAGGATCTCTAGAAAGTTGTAACCATGGAATACGGAGTCCACTTTGTAGAAACAATGCCTTTACTCTACTTAATGCTTCTGAGAACATTGTAAAAGAAGTTTGAAGGCAGAAATTTGTGCTCAGGATTGCGGTATTGTCAATGTCGGATTTGCTTCAGCAGCAAAAAGTCGGATTTTTTCCCCAATGTTCACGTCAAAAAGCATCCAGAGGGTAGATAAAACCCCGTCCCTTCCGATCCAGCTGAACAAATGCAAAATTTTTTACTCAACACAGGTTTGTGGAGCGAAATACATGTGAAAGCATTTTCAATGCAAAAAAGCAGATAATCAGTTCTTTTTGGAAGTATGATACAGCTTGACTAAAGCAGCTGTTTAACGTTTTTGGATGTTCACCTACCTACAGAAATTCGGGAGTTAAAGGCAGTGGCCCGGCAGAATGTCAAATTTGGAATATTCATTGTTTTCGGTTCTCCTGGATGAGCTGAGTCTAAGACTGTAGTTTGCAGCTTAAAAAGATACCAATAACCCGCTTTTTCAGGCGTGAAAAGCGCTATTTGAAGGCGGTCCGCGTAAGCCTGTCTTAGAACGCGATTGGCTCGTGGGTACTATAGGTACGGTATCTCCACTCACGAGCCAGTCGCGCTCGAGGACAGGCTTACGCGGTCCGCCCTCAATATTGATATCTTTTTAAGCTGCAAACTACAGTCTTAGACCCAGCTCATCCAGGAGAACCGAGAACGATGAATATCCCAAATTTGACATTCTGCCGAGCCGCTGCCTTTAAGAAGTGCTTTAATCAGTAAAAACTCCAGGTGGACCTATAATTTTGTCCAGCCTTCAAGCCTGCTTTTTTTCAAAATTTTCAATTTTTTCTTGGACAAAATGAAAACGAGACCCATTTTGATGACTGATAGTAGGCTGGTAAACACACGACTGTACCAAATTTTGGAACATTTTATTGACAACAGAGTGAGCTATGGCACTTTTTAGAGTGGGCCTATAATTTTGTCCAGCTGTACGATGTAATGAACATACTTACATGGTCACAGTCTGTGTCAAAAACGCGATATAACTGGCATTTTCGCAACGAATCGCAAAGTAATTTTTTCCACCCTCGCACACGAACATAGTCATTGATTAATCTTTGTTTTTGCTTGATCGCTACATCACTCGAATATCTTATATATAAAGCTGAATGTCTGTTTGTATGTATGTCTGTATGTCTGTATGTGTATCTGTATGTACGTATGTTCCGAATAGAAAATTCCATTTCTGAACCGATCGGGACCAAACTTAACACACACACACTTCGGGCCCCGGCGGGTTTCGTAGGCTACTTTTCGTCATCGATCGATATTGATTTTATCGATTTTTTGCAAAATTTGAGCTACGGGGCTGGGAGTTGGCACAGGAGGGTAATCGAGCATGCTGATCACCCCCGTGGGGGTGATCAGCATGCTCGATTGTGTATGTGTGCCAATTTTGGTCCCGATCGGTTAAGAAATGGAATTTTCTATTCGGAACATACGGCGGAGCCGGGTAAGCCAGCTAGTACTTTTTAAAAAGAGTACTGGCAAAAGCAAAATAACAAGCACAACAGATTCAGACTTAAAGACAGAAAGCATAGCTGTTATGATTTGTAAGGCTTATCACTTATAGTAATGTGACCAAGTTGAACCATGGAATTCCGATTTTTATGGCGTTGTAAATGACAGGAAAGCGTGCAAAGGAGTCAGTCTTTTAACAAAGCATGACTTTTGCTCAATAGAATTGAGTTCTGTAAGGCTGAATCCATGACATGATGAGGTCCTTGTGGTACACGATGTCAGTGTTCATCTAAAAGTGCAAGTATATGAGGAATAGGAATGTTTTCAGTGTTTTTGTGTATTAAGATTTTTACTCTTTCTGTTTAGCATTACAGAAAAGATCTTGTACGATAAGGGAGCGTACGTGGAAAGTGGTTATCTAGAAAATACGGAGTATGCTTGCTTTGACTTCGTGTAGCTTATTTGAAATCTATTTCCTAGCAGGTTACTTTTTTAAGCTTGATCTTCCTCCTTTCGAAACGCAGTTCTCTTTCAACAACGGAAGGCAAGCTTTAGGTCGATTTAAAATGATTGAAATGGATGTGCCACTTGCAGCACAAGGTGAAAAACGACTTACTTTCCTGCACTCATCTGCAAGCAATGACGAAATTTGAGAGCACTATCAATTTGAGCAAATTCAATTATGACTGACCTATTATGAATCTCCAAAAGAGTTTGTAGAGACAATCACTGAATAATGAAAACTAGTCAGTGCAGTATGTAGAGTAATTCGTTGCTATATAATATATATAACTTAGCAAAGCATTTTCAGGTTTGAGGTTTGAGTTGTTTTCTGTCGTCGTTTTCTGATGAAATGAATTGACGACAAGAACATGTACCACTCGAAAGAAACAAAACTGCACTACAAGACTTGCTTTTCATTTTTTTGACCAATCTGATGCCCTTCGTTTTGCAACTTTGAGTTTTTTTTGAGAGGCAGAATTATGCAGTTTAGCCTGCATCTTCCTCTATTATATATTCCCTAGTGGCAGTGGCATACCCAGGATTTCTGCTCGAGGGGGGGGGGACAAATTTTTTTCAAATGAAGGTGCGTGGCGTTAGCCACGCACTCCGAAAAAATTTTAAGGGTGCTTCTCAAAATTTTTGCGGGTCCTCAACCCCGAAAATATGGAAAAAGGGGGCGTGGCGTCAACCACGCCCCGAAAAAAAATTTTTTACAAGGCTAATTTGAATTTTTGAAGATTTTTAAAAATTATTTTAATTATCTACAAGTATAAACATGTCATTTGCACAATTTTATAACCCTTATGATAACTTTCAAAAATTTCGCGACCCAATCTCGGGGGGGGGCCCTCGGTACGCCACTGCCTAGTAGGAATTTACCTGGAACCATTGTGAAGTATGAGAAACAAGTGTTTGAGGGGCCATAGTGCTTATAGAAGTAGGTCTATAAAGATAACAAAAAGCATAAAGTGCACTGTTATTATATGTGAAGATATAGTGCATTCAGCAATTTTGGAAATTTTTTTGCGTTTGAGTTCTGGGAAAGCGTAAGTACTGGCCAGTGCTTGTATTTGAACAAGTTGATAGCAGGATTGCAATATGCTGTTGCGAAACAGCACAAGTCGCAAACAGCACTTATTGAGTCTTTTTATGGAAAAATGGTCAGAGTTGGTCCAGCCAATCCAAACAAGCTGTACATTACGGCACTCGCATGCCCATTGTAATGATTTGTTCGTTATCTGCTAAGCGAGATGAAGTCATAAGGCCTATGCAAGAGCTTATGCAAGCCTTAATGAATATGATTCGCTCAAAGGCGTCTTACCAAAATAGGGCAGCTTGTCTTTACATTATATTTATTCTTTATGTTCTGTTATGGGTCCCCCCCCCCCAGATAGGCGAACGCCCCAAGTCCCACTCGATTCGGGGCTTCTACGCCGAAGAATTTGCACTCAAAATGGCCCGCAAAGCGCGATTCGGGCGGCACGGCCGACGCTCCCGGTTTCCCCTTTACGCGGTTCAACATGTCTCTCCAGATGGCGTCGATCTTTGAGGGCAGCGTACACACAAAATTTTGCCTTTGATGTTTTTGCCATTCTGGGGCCTTTCCGTGCCTGTGATTACAGTTATCACATTAGAATCCTCCAAAAGTCCCAAAAAAATCCCGAGTCCCGGGGACCCTCTCCTCAAAGGGAGGACGAGTTTCGAATTGCACGACCCCGTCGGCATGCCAACAAGGAGTGGCTACAACTGCATGGCAGCCAGTGCAGCGTATGCTGTCGTGGATTCGTCGTCTGAAGAAGGCGGACCGCAAAAAGCAACTGCACAGTTGCAGCATTTGCAACTGCAACTGCAACGGCAACTGCAGCTTATGCTGTCGTAGATTCGTCCGAAGGAGGCGGCGTGAAAGAAAAGGGGCGGAGTGAAAGAAGAAGCAAGCGGGTTTTCTCCGCTCAGAAGCAACATTGGGAGACCGGAACAACGCAACGCAGTTGATCTTCTTCTGTGCCCTGTATATACACGTCTAGAGGACTTTGTAACGTAACTTTTGGGTGTACGCTGCCTTCAAAGGCAGTGTCCAAGCAAAAAGTCAATTTCGAGATTTTTAGCTTACCCGGGCTTATTCGCTACGCTGAATCCGAAAATGAACACTGGGGATTGCGAAAACGGCGAGAAAAGACTATTACGGATGAGGAAAATTGCAAGTGGGCGGGGCTGTTCACATAGTGGCATCACTCTCCTAGCTTCAGGAGCGATCTCCTCGATTCCGCTAGTCGCCCTAACATCATCATCAGCCACTGCGAAATGCATGACATAAAATCTCAATCGAGAAGATCGCTCCTAAAGCCTGGGAGAGTGACGCCACGGTTTAAACGGCCCCGCCCACCTGTAATTTCCCTCCTGCATGGGGCCTTTTTTGGCGTTTTCGCGCTCTCCATTGTGGTTAATCGGATTCAGCATGGCGAATAAGCCCGGGTAAGCACAAAATCTCAAAATTAACTTTTTGCTTGGACATTGCCTTAAAGGTGTTGCTGCTACTCTGGCGAAGGGCAGATGCTACAATGCTTGTAAGTGTTTTGATTACAGCGAAGAGGCACACCCACTGTAAACTTGAACGATTGTTTTAAAACGTTTTGCGTTGTGTCACAAGAAATGCTCATAATCCCTTCCATATGGTCTCAGATTACAAACAAAAATTTGAGATCAGTGCTTCAGAGCGAGTGCGATGATTCACAGCTTGTTTGGATTGACCGGACAACGTTGGGACCGTTCCTATGTCCACATATTGGCGTGCTGCCACTTTGCCAGTATTCAGCTAGCTATTCCGCCTAATCTGGCAAAAAATTCTTGCGGGATACGGAACAAATGCTTTTGCTAAAGTTGCCAAGTTTTGCGCCGCAAAAAGACTTTGCATTGAGTCACTCGCAGAACAAAGGGCATTAGATTTCCTTTGAAAATGTAAAAACCTTTTTTAAAAAGGTTCTTTCACAAGTCCTTACACCTTGAATCAACCTATTCTTGGAGAAATGACGAAAACAAATAAGAACTAATTTCAAAAACTCATGAAACTACCTGATGTAAATCTCACAACCAGAGGTGCGATGGGGAGAGCCGGGCCCACTAAAATTGAAGGTGGTCCCAGCTACCATTAACCGGCCAAAAATGAAGGTGGTAGTGCCGGACACTCACCTCCCAAAAACGTCGACCGGGGGGGGGGGGGTTAACGTCGACTAAACTTATCCTTCCAGGTCGTTGCCGCCAGTGCGCGGAAAATAAGCAAAACAAACGCAAAAAAGATTATTGAAAGCATATTTTTATGTATACGGCGGCACATATATTCACAATAAACGTGTTTAGTAAATGGTGTGTTTTGAAGTGAAACTCAGCGAGACTTTACATATTTTGTTAAGTAAATTTTGTTATGTACTGCGAAGGAATTAGGTCAATTCAGGGAGTAATCGCCGAGAACCAGAATTTCGAATGATAAAATAACGATAAATTATGCGAAATTTCCACTTTTATAAATCTTGCGGTTGAAGATGTCAGCATTTGCGACTTCAAAGGTTTCAAAGAGTATCTGGTGCTCTATCAGAATTGAAAGAATCGAGTCGACTTGAGAGATAGTCGTTGAAAACCAGAACTTTACCCCGGGCACATGCCGTGAGATTAAATATCATTTGAAAGCTTTTGAAGAGGAGAATCTAACCTATGAAGTCGCAACGTCATTCATGCTGTTCTGAAGAAGTTATGAGCTGAAAAACGGTTTTTTACCTGCTTTTTTAAGAGCCTGGATCTCGGCTATGTTTTAATGGATCGGTACAGCTAAGACATGTTCTGATAGGGGAAACCGCATCCTACAAAACCTGTGAAGTGGCAACATCACACATTTTCAAAGTCCGGATTTATAAGAGTTTAAATGTCAGCTGTCATCAAACAACCTAAAATCGCGTAATTTTTCAAAATTCTCGTTCTCGGCGGCCACTCCTCAAATTAAACTGATTCCTTCACTGTTGGTGGGACAACACTTACTCCATAAAACCTATGAAGTCGCAACATCATACACTTTCACTTTCAAGATTTAGATGAGTTTAATTGTCAACTGTCAAAAAACACGCAAAAATGGCGTAAATTTTTAGAATTCTGGTTTTCAACGACTATCTCTCAAGTCGACTCGATTCTTTCAATTCTGATAGAGCACCATTTACTCTTTAAAACCTTTCAAGTCGCAGATGCTGACATCTTCAACCGCAAGATTTATTAAAGTGGAAATTTCGCATAATTTATCGTTATTTTATCATTCGAAATTCTGGTTCTCGGCGATTATTGCCTAAATCGACCTACTACGTAGATATATGCTCTCAATACTTTCTTTTGCGTCCCTTTTGCTTATTTTCCTTCTTTTATGCTTCAGCAAAAATTTTTTTCAAACCTAAAAGCGAAGGTGGTTACCCTGTACCAGCTCAAGAGTGAAGGTAGGCGGAGAATCGGCTCCGACTATCGCACCTCTGCTCACAACACCACAGTTGCGCAGAATTTTTCTTTCAAATACATTCTCATGTAGGCGATGTCAAGGGAAATTTTGTTCGAGAGGAACTAAATTTTTCTGTCAAAAGGGTTTGAGATAGATATATTAAATCGTTTCAAAAGTAATTTTGCTTTTTTCAAACGGGCACCACATTTGATGGAACAAAGGTTTTTGAGAGATCCTAAAAACATTCGATGCAGAATTTTATTCTCTTTCTAATGGTTATGAAATTGTTGCAAAACAATCAATGAGCTTTCAGAAAATAACCAAAGTCTGCGACCCATGCTTTTTGAGATGGTCAATTTTTACGACTTTTTAAAACTTTCATATTAATCCTCAGAAGAAGTTCAAGTAACGATTCGATAGAGTAAACCTTATAGAATACAGAACTGCTTTTTACCCTTTTCATATCTTGCCATACATTTTTGACAGAATTTTAACTGATGCTACCGATTTCCATACTTGGGCAGCTAAATCCTCGTAGAACATCAAAAGAAGAGCAGCTTGGCCATTATTCGACGAAGCATCTTCTCCTCTTTCTAGCAGGCGGTTTTTGTTTCCGATTCGTTTAGTTTTCGGGGATGAAATCATCACAATTCATTTTTTAAAGGAGCCTCATGCTGTACCTGAAAATCGCGAAATTTGATATTTCGAACCCGTAAACCCTCACTTGCTTTGTAAAGTTAGTGCTAACTCATAGTACAGTCTTGGTAGTCTCAAATTCCGAAAAATTATGATTTTTGCTGTAATTGTGGCTGAGGTGGGCCTGCCAAAATCCGATGGTTCTGTTAAAAAATCTTTTAAAAAATTACGGCGAGTACGAAATAAAGAAAAAAGTTGTACTGTATTCTATGAGGTTTACTCCATCAAATCGTTACTTGAACTTCTTCTGAGGATTGATATGAAAGTTTTAAAAAAATGTGAAACTTGACCATCTTAAAGGTCGCAAGTTTTAGTTATTTTCTGAAAGCTCATTGATTGTTTTGCAACAATTTCATAACCATTAGAAAGCGAATGAAATTCTGCATCAAATGCTCCCAAGATCTCTCAAAAACCTTTGTTCCATCATATATGGCGCCCGTTTGAAAAAAGCGAAATTATTTTTGAAACCACCTAATAGTTTTCATTCAACTTATCGTCAAACTGCATTGAGATGTTACTTTCTTTGAGTACATTTTTTCTGTCTATAATCACGTTTGGCACATTGTTCCCTCTAGTGTTCCCGTGCACCTTAACACTTGTGCAATTAATATCATCGCTCGCCTGGGCTGCTGCCGTCGCGGTTCTGTTTAGCAATTCTTCGCAGTCAGACCCAAACGAAACAATTCCAATCAAATAATCTCTTCCATTGATAGTTGCGTATACACCTCCGCCACTGTCACCCTAAATTGCAGCGTTGTAACACATTTGAAAAGTATGTTATAAACGGTACTTTTATTTTCATGTGTGCAAGCCACACTCACCTCACCCTCAACTTTTGTTGTGCATGGGTTCCCTAGAGCCATCGCTTTTATTACTATCTCCTCGTTAACGCGCTTTATAGCACGCGGCTTCCTTTCGCGCGTTTGGTTTTAAAGCAGTCAGGGTGCGGCTTGTACACGTGAGAATATAGTATCCAAAACGATGGCACGTCAAATTTATTTGGGACATTGCCACCAGAGAAGTTGAGCATGAATGAAGCTGTAAGCAAGCAAAGCGATTATTGTAGTAGTGGACAAAATTTGCAACTCACAAAGGATCTTATTCAGTGATTTTGCAGTACGTAGACCTTAAATGCTTCCACGTGTGCATACTATTAACTTTGACCTTACAAAAAAACTACTGGTGCGTTGCACTAGACCTCTAGCCTTTTCTTAGTTCAAAATACGAAAGAATCGCAGACCTTTCGCCTTTACGGGTGCTGATAAGAACACGTAAATTTCAGAGCGAAAGCAGTGGCTTGGCAAAACTTAACAACTCAAAATTTTAACACGGTAGTCTCCTTATTGCCCAAGTATGAAAAAAAGTGCAATCCCGGTTGCACAGCATGCCTTCCTTGCCGAAAAATTGCTCTCAAACTTACGCGCGCGGCCATTCTTACATGCATCTGGACGAGTTGGCAATTTCCTTCTCACCATTGGAGGCTGCCCGTCGCAATGCTATAACCATTGGGTTCCTCAACGATTCGGCGTCATCAGCCTTGCAGCACTCGTCCGATCCCAAAGGGAAGGGCATTGAAAAACGCTCGTTTTCGGCATTTCCAAGATTTGAGATTTGCCGAGCCACTGCCTTTAAAGGCAACGCCCACCCAAAATCCATCCCACCAAGGCTAGCATATAGTTGTACGGGATCCAGGAGTATCCAATCTGCTTTAGTCCAGTCTTTTGATGTGACCTTTGAAAAAGACATGCAACCTGTGGTAGGTATCAAAGCGTCTCTGATGTCATAAAACCTTCCATTCGAATGCTTACGCAGGTGATGCAAAATTGCTGCAAAAGTTCGATCAATGGAGTGCAACTGCACCCATGCAGTTGCAGCTCATCCGCTGGCAAGTTGGGGGTAGCGAAAATCCAAAACTCGTCTTCTCCCTCCGAACAGTCTCCAGAAGTCGGGATTTTTTTTGTTGATGTTTTGGGCAACTTGAACTTCTTAACTATATTCAAGGCCACCGAAAGGCCCCAGGATGAAAAAACGTGAGATACGAAAATGGGTAGACGCTTCCTTTAAGATTGAACAAATCAACGAATGTGAACGGGTATCATGTCGACTTCCTCAATAATCAGCATCAAAAATGTATTTCTTTCACTTTGAGAACATGATCAATGTGTTTATAGGAGAAGTATACATCATTTCACGGGCATTTAAATTGTTTGTGATGAGCAAAATAAACATGTGAGAGCAACACTTGATGAACTTTGCAATTTTTGAGCTGGTGCAAAGAGTGCTAGAAGTGTCGAATACTGTTGTGCGTACCATCGAAGGAATGGCAACAACAATCGGACTAATGACAAGTTTCCACTTTGCTTGACATTCATTTCTGATAAGGGCTATACAGAAGTGCATCGTTGCAGCTGGATGATATTATGTTAGTGAACGTTCCCACCGATAATATCCAAAAACAGCTCGTGCGTAACAGGCTCTACGATCAATACTGCATACGGAGCAATGCGTGATATGCCCGCAAGGCAGAATGGGTGACTGTGCGAAGGTGGGAGTGGTGTATCAGTTTGAATATCTGAAATGTAATGCACGCTATATTAAGTAAACAGGAAGAACACTCGGCATTCACATCAAAGAGCATTTGTCAGATAAAAGGCGCAAGAACTTGGCCTCGCCGCTTGGCAGACATAGGCACTAATCGCATGGTGGAGGTGACTTTGATACAGAGTTACAATTTTAACACTTGAAAAAGAGATCTCGGCTAGGAAAGCCGCCTTGGAATCGTTCTGGACCAAAACGAGTGCTTATCCATAACTGCTGATTTCCTTCCGTTTTTATCATTATGTGAGCTATAACTGTTTATGTGACATCCCTCAGTATAGCTCAGTCGTCCATCGCGAACATCTACATCCGGGCCGGTAGTAATCCCCCCGACCTGGCGGCAGGTCTCGTCGGCAGGTTGCTGGCATCTTTCCGCGAGGTGGCCAGAAACTAAGAACCGAAATTTAGGCCGTCCCAGGCCTTTTTTCAAAAAATTTTCTCGATAAAGTTGCCGCCTCGACTCTGTAGAAAACTTCATAAAAAACTGCGGCTCCAGAACTCCTCCTTTAGTAAAATATCTGGAATTCCAGGAGGAGCTGCCGGCAACTTCGCGAGGTCAGTTGCCGGCAACCTGCCGGCAAGTTGGCGGAATCCGCGAGATGGCAGCTGCCGGCAGGTCAGAGAGCACGGGAAATAGCATGCTCTTTTGAGAGAGGGAGCTGCCGGCATCTCGACGTGCCCCTACCACGTCGAGGTGGTGGCACCTTTCCCGACGGCGTCTGTGAGATTGCGAATTGCGGCGATATCACACAATTTACGTCAGGCGAAAAAATCAAAAAATTCCACTTTCCATCCAAAAACCTTCATTTTTCTCAATATATGAGTTTCTCTTTTTTGAAACGACGATTTTCTTACAGAGAAAAAATCTGGTAATGCCTTAGAACCGTAAGGAACACCATCTTTTTTTGCAATCCCTTCTAAATCTTATTTGCACCGATTTAGCCCCTCTCTCGCTCATATCAATCAGCTGTTCTTTCAGGTCAAAGTCTCTCGCGCAATGTATCGATCCCTCTTACAGGCGGCCACTTACCGATGCGTTCCTCCTATTGCTGGTGCAGACGGCAATTGCTGACCAAATGGTCGAATTGTTAACGTGGTGGCACTTCAAGTTAACGCACATAGGTTCGATCGCGCGCGAGGTAGCAGTTTTGCGGCTGTCTACGTTATCAGAATTTGATGAACGAAATAACTGCGTACTAAGATTATAGAAAATTGTTAAAACCTACAATCATCCGCGAGCTGCCGGCGGAGTTGGCATCTTTCCGCGATGTGTGCCAACTTGCCGGCATCTATGATGCCACCAGGTAGGGTAGATTATTACCGGCCCCGGTACGGACATCTAACGAAGCGGTGGTTCCTGGTACAGTCGATTCATTTCATATGATCATGTGTGTCACTGCACACGCTGTCCACCTTTGGCGTCCCCATCCTGGAATTGCGATCGCAAAAGCGCAAAGACCGACCGATTTTTATCGCTTACATCACTTTGTGAGGATTGGTACCTATGAAGGAGGAAAAGCATGAAGAAAACACCGGAAACGTTTGACACAAAGGCTGTCAGTTTCTAAAATCCAGGATGAGGACGTCAGAGGTGGACAGTGTGTGCAGTGACACACATGATCATATGAAATGAATCGACTGTATGTCTTTTGTCATCAAAATTTTTGTAGCATTAGATTGGAGGAAGAGCCAAGAACTGGCAAGGGCTGGTGGAGACGTTTGCTGGGCTAGAGTTACGGATGAAGCTTTGAACCATTCCAGGCCTCTGATGAAAGCGAAAGCGTCGAAACGTAAATCCGAAGAGTAATGACAATAAAAGGACCACCTAGCAACCTGTTCGGCACAACAGTATTCGACGCTTACGAACATGCCCAGGTTTAATGACTATGAAACATGGAAATTATTAGTGTCAGAAGTTTTACCAGTAATGTAAGATTTCCAGTCTATTCTCTCTTATTGGAAAAAAGCTTAAGCAAAGAGAGTTACGCAAGGATTATTCGTTGGGAAAAAGAGGAATGTTTTCTTACCTTCAGCTTGATCACGCGTATGCTCTCCAAATCGTATATAAACTACTAAGTAACTAAGTAGGTACTAAGTAGGGCAGTCATAAAATCGTGACGACGAATTGACTGCGGTCTTTACGCCCTCAGCAGCAGAAAACACTACAAAAAAAGGTTCATCTCAACTCTCAACCAGAGTCAAGGGTGGGATGTGGCATGCCACACCTGGGAGGTCGTATTGAGAGGTCGGGAAGAGGGCGGGGAATGGGTGGAGGGGGGGGTCGTTACCGAGGTGAGCTGATGTTACCGATGACATGATATAAATGTCTACAATGTCAGATAGGCACTGTGTAAAGTACTAGCACAATGATGCTTTGGCCTTCCATCGTGTACGTACACAAAGTGTAATAAAAGAGCATTATAAGCATAAGAGCATCATTTTCGTAACTAGAATGTCAAAGATTCCTGTGGGCCAAGTTTCGGTGGATTCTGAGATTTCCAAATATTGGCCCACCCAAGTGAATAGCCAACTTTAAATATGTTATTCTCGTTTCAAAGGTCAGTTAACTACTTCTTTCTGCACTTGAAACAAAAAAGATTTCTTTGCCCTAGAAATCCCACTTCGAATAACATCTAAACTATGGAATTACGAGCAAGCCAAAATCTCATTGTTCCATTTTTTGCTTTCAATATCTCAGATTAGAGAGGACCAGTCAAGTTCGAATCAGGTTTATTCAAATTATGAGGCTTAGTCTTCAATTATTATCCTTGTCGCCTTCTTTCGAGATTTACATAGTAGCTCAGACTAAGCATGTTACCGTAGCCCAATCTTTCGCAGCATTTTCTATCTGCATAGGTAAGGGAAAAAACTATCTTTCCCTATAAGATACGATTTCAAATGATTTTTCTACTGCTCAAAAAAGAAGGTTGAGCAAAATAATCATATGAAAAACGCAGATATTTGAATGCTTCAAAGGTAAGTTAATGGGGTGCACAACCCCTGAAAAGCTGTGGCGGCCACAGCTTTTTTTGGGTTGCGTCACATTCCATTAACGAATTCTAGGAAACAAAATAGGTACAATTCGATAGCAAAAACTCCGTAGTTTTTGTAAAGTAATTAGAGAGCTGAATTCGTTTTTTTCG